TGGGTGTGGGTCTTATCCAGTCTGAATAACATCCTGATGCCTTCACTGTACATCCTGGTGATGTGGATCAGTGAGTCAGTGTCCTGGCTTATAGCTTGTCACCCATGTACAGTAGTTGGCTGATGGTTGCTCCACTGCAAAATGTGTAGCCATGTCCACTGTTAAATGGTAAATGGACTGATTCTTAAAGTGCTTTTCTACTATCAAAGTGCTTTATACAACATCCATCCATGCTCATTGTCGGGGTCGCAGGGCAGCAAGAGGCAGGGTACACCCTGGACAGGTCTCCAGTCTGTCGCAGGGCCAACAGACAACCATTCACACTCAGGTTCACACCTACGGGCAATTTAGACGTACCCAAGTAACCTAATTAAGCTTCACACACTTTCATACTCTGATGCACCGGAGAACAACTTAGGGTTAGTGTCTTGCTCAAGGATATTTGGCTTGCAGACTTGGAGGAGCCAGGGATTGAACCACCAACCGTCCGATCAGTAGATGACCTGCTCTACCTAGCTGCAGCCACCCCAAGTGTGACAGGTGTGTGACAGGTGTGTGACAGGTGGGTGATGATCAGGGGATTGAGGTCTAACAGCAGCAAGAACATTCTGTTGGCCAGTTGGCGTCCAGTGTTGTTTTTACAGAGTTCCCCATGAATATTATCAGTGTGTTACTAGCTTTGTACAGTGTAAATGAAACGTGTGCTTACTCAGCTTGGTTGCTACAGTGAGAGGAGCTTCCAGGTTGGAGTAATCTGCTGGTAGCTTCATGGTGTCCGTAAACATGATGTTTCAGAGTCTTAACAATCCATTCAAATTTGGCTCAGATCTACCAAAGTCTCCAAGGTCATTGTTCAAAACATTGACCTCTGACCTCTCCTTCAAGGTCAGTCATTTGATTTAGCAGACATCTGCACTCTAAGTGCTTCTTGGTGATCTTTGTAAATGTTGTGACTTTTTTCCCCTCAATGAAAAGAAGAAATCATGTTGTTTATGTCAACCGTCATGTTTAGTGTTTGGCTTTTGGCCTCAGAGACGTAGTTTTTCTTGTAATTAAATTAGTTAATATGTAACTAATTAAAGATTATAAGTTTTCTTTTATTTGGCTTTAATTATGTAACTGTATTATTTAGTTCCAGTGCACGGCCCTTTGGTTGTTTTAAAGTGCTTTATCAATAATGATGAAGATATTGACTGTGTGAGCAGTCAGGAACAGTGTTGTCTGTCATTGTGCTTTAAGCTCTCTGCTATTAATACCTCACAGAAGCATGTTGTCAACCTGCCTCTGGATCCCTTCATGCTTCTCACTAGTCCTGTCTCTACTCGTCCTTCACCCCTTTATTTTTTACTTTGGTGTCAGTCTCCCAGCTGCCTGTGTCATTTCTGTCTGTCAGTACAAAGAGAAAAGATGTGAATGTTTTTGTTCTGCATGAGGAATCCAAAGTGAGGCTCACTGTCATAGTTTCCAGTAATAAACAGTATCAGGAGGCAGAGTGATGTCAGCGTTGCGCTCTGTCTCCCACTCGCTCGCACAGACGCAGTCATTGCCCTTCATTCTGTATGATTAGTCAGTGTTGGCTTGTATCTGTCAGCGGAGGAATAGGAAGAGAGAAGAAAATAGATTTCCCTCCTCCTTCCACCGATGATTGGCCTGCAGTGAATGAGACCAGGAAAAAGAGAGGAGGGGACTGTGGCTAATGCGTCATAGGCTGGCAGGGCCTCGTTTAAGTGGCTTTGGATCTGGGAGAGAGAGAGAGATTAAAGTGTGAGTGACATTTTCAGCTCTCCACACCCAAATCTCTGGAAAATTCCTTGAGTTTTCAGTCTGCTGCGAGCGAGACAGGAACAAGCTGCAGCAGAAAACGCAGATTAGCAAATGTTAGGTGTTGTTTTCAATTTCTAACTTTAGATTCTTGTTTCGTAATCTTGGAATGTGCCGCACTGCCTCTCTAACATTGTGGACTTGATGTACTGTGGGCACCGAGGGAGAAAGACTGAAGCCAGTGCAGGGGAAGAACCCGACCACGGTCCTGTTGTCTCTGCTCGTCACCCTGGGGAAAGCTACAGTCCTCCAACCTCGTCCCTCCTCCTCCTCAACTTCATTGACTGTTACACCGTTGCATCGCACCCTGAACTCAGTTATCAGGTGCAAAAGGTTGCGGATCGGCGGGTCGCCTGTCATGCACATTAAGACCACTAAATGTAACCGGTTCTGCCTGGTGGCCTCGGTGACCAACCGGGAATTATTCCACCACTCTGAGGTGCAGGTAACAGTGTCACTAAAGGATTTCCTGGAATTTGACTAGCGAGGCAGCTGACCCCGTGTGCGTGAGACAGGATCTACCAGCAGCTTCCAACTGCATTTGTGTTGACTGTATATAGGCTTTATGTGCAGTTCATCGTGTAATGTAGCTGTTGAGAGGTCTGCTTAAACTTGATTTCACAGCTGAATAAACCCAAGCATCCAGCTCAACTACCCTCTAAAACTGTGTTTCAGTAGTAATGGACAGCCAAGACTGACTGTGAAACACAGTAATGGGGATTTTGCAGCTTTTTAACATGATTTCCTTCAGCTGTTGGTACAACTCGATAATAAAACAGTGTTAAGAAAAAGATGAATCCTACATCTGCACTAATGTGTGCTAATCTCTCGGCGTTTAGGTAATATCGATCATTTCAGTGTGTCTGCATGATCAGATGTCTGTGGCTTTATTCATAGAGTCTTCAAATAACTCTTTCTACCTCGCTCTTGCTCAATATTTTTAGCTAGAAAGTGAAGAAAGTGCTGAATGGGCTGTAAGATGGTTCAGAGATGTCCGTCATCAGTCTCCTCCTGCTGTCTGCTTCCTCTGTGTTTCCAGGCTGGCTTCGAGGCCTTGTTCCGTTCGTTCGACTCGGAAGTGCAGTTCCAGTACTTCAAGTCGTTTCGGCGCATCAGGATCAGTTTCAGAGATGCTCTGGCTGCAGCGGAGGCGAGACTCCGACTACATAAGACGGACTTCAACGGCAAAGAAATGAGACTTTACTTCGCTCAGGTAACATCTGTAGGCTGAGATCTATCAGACACATGTAGCTTTTTCAGACCTTCAACTAAACCAGGCGGAGCTCCTGATACACTTTCTGGATGTCATCTATGGTTGTCCCAGAGTTTGGAATAATACATGAAAATTGAAATAATAACTAAAAAACAACTTTACATTGTGGAAGAACTTGTGTGTTATAGCAGTGTTCGTTCTTCTCTTATAGAGATGTGTGAACTTTCACTTACTGTGACATCGATCAGCGTCCTCAAATTCAAATTGTATTTGTCACACACACACAACCACACACAGTATGACATGGGGGTGAAATGCTTGTAGCTGTGCAATGCCCGACCGTTAAATGACAGAAAAA